TTTCCCTAATTTCTCTCTCAGTGAGCCTGCTATTTGTGTATAAAAAGGCTTTTGTGTTTTGAGTGTTGAGCTTATATCCAGCTACTCTACTGAATCTGTCCATTAGGCCTAGAAGTCTTTTGGCTGAGTTTTTTGGGTCTTCTATGTAAAGTATCATATCATCAGCAAATAATGACAGTTTAACTTCTTCCTTTCCTATCTTTATTCATTTTATTTCTTTCTCTTGTCTAATTGCTGTGGCTAATGTTTCCAAAACTATATTGAACAGGAGTGGTAATAGTGGGCATCCTTGTCTTGTTTCTGATTTTAGCGTGAAAGTTTTCAGTTTTTGACCATTTAGTATGATGTTGGCTGTTGGTTTTAGGAACGCTGTTTTTTTGTTTTTTGGTACTGGAGATTGAACTCAGAGCCTTGGCATTGAGCTACCTCCCCAGTCATTTTTTGTATTTTTAATTTTGTAAGTCACTAAATTGCCCAGGCTGGCCTGAAACTTGCAATCCTCAGCCTGCCCATTCTGGGATCACAGGCATGCACTGTCATGTCCAGCTAGGGACACATTTTTTTTTAAGCATTTATTTTGTATAAGACACTCAGTGGTACCGAAGGAGCTATAAAAAGGAGAAAGAGGAATCTGAGTCTTTAGACTCTATTTGGCTGTGGAAAGGGTCGCAAGAGTAGGAGGAGCCTGATTAATGCCACCCAGCAAAGTACAAAACCAAGCAGAAACCAAGCCCCTGGAGGGCTCCACCCAGTTTACCTTCACAATCCTGCCACTTATTGCCTAGGCCAAATGTCTGCTCCCAGCCAAGAAGGGGCACAACCACAAGACTTACCATCCAGTAATTGACAATGGAGAACTGGGCTGGACACATGAGACAGTGATATGTAAATTTTAGACATCAGGCAGCTAGGACCGTCATCCCCAGAGACTGAAAATAAGTGGGTGGACTCTCTGGGGCCCCCAGAGCACCACCTGCCAGGTCTGCTGGTTTAGAGCTGAGGGACCCAGGCAGAGCCTGGCTGTGTTCTTGCTTTGAGAAGACAGAATTCTGGAGCTCAGGTGGGGTAAAAATCATGCCCGTTTCCACCAGCCTGCACAGAAAACTTTGTAATTCATGGGGCTCTGGGCAAATTGTGTAGAAAACTTTTTATCTTGGAGGCAGGGAAAAAATAACTGAAAAAAAAGGGAACAGTAGAAAAAGTGCGAAAAGATGAACAAAACATCATGGATTTGTAGGACAGCTTCAAACCTTTTAATCAGCAGGATAGCTGGAGCCCCAGAGAAAAGGGAGGGCAGCAAAAGCATTTGAGAAAATAATGACTTGCAAATTTGCAAACTTGCTGAAAACCATAAATCCACAGACAACAGAAATTTAACAGACCCCAAACACAAGAAACACAAATAAAACTACAAAAAAGGTACCTTTTCACTGAAGAGCTTAAAACCAGTGATACAGAGAAAATTGTAAAAGTAGAAAAGTACACACATATTACATAGAGAGGCACAGAGGTACGGATAATGGCGGGTTTCTCATCCAACACAATGCAAGCCAAAGACAGTAGAGTGTTATTTTTGGTTTTTTAACTTTTAACTTTATTTATTTATTCTTTTTGAGACAGTGTCTCACTGTGTAGCCCAGGCTGGCCTTGGTCTTGAAGCAATCCTCTTGCCTTGCCTCCCAAGTACTGCCATTACAAGCATGAGCCACCACACCTGGTGAGCAGCATTTGTAAAGTACCACAAGAAGCCTCACACACACACGAACAAAAACCCCAAACAACGCCCCCCCCCGAAAAATTGCCTGCCTAGAATTTTAGCTCTGTTATATTCAGATCCAACTGTGTGTCAACACTTAAAATTCTTCAGTGACTTTTGTTTTGTTTTCCATCTAGAGGACCTGGCCTCTGAGACTGAGATGAACCTCAGTGGCTTTACTAGGATGCATCTGGTGCTCGCCATCTATGGAAGGGTAAGGCGAGTGACACTGGGCAGGGGGGCTAACTCTGTGGCAGTCTCTGTTGATGCCTCTGCTGACTGACACACCTTTGAAATGGGTGTCCCCTTGGGGTTGTCCTTAGTTGGGGTGAGGAGGCCAGGCCTTCACACTCATGGCAGGACCACTTCGGCACTGGAGTCCTCTTGCTGTCTCAGTGATAGTGTTAGACTCATGGAGTCTGGAACCTGGGTTTGAATCTCAGACCTACCACTTGCTGGCTGTGTAATTTAAAGCAAAATCTATGTGTCTTCTCTATGTGTGACCTGTGTCTTAGTTTCCTCACCTATGAAATAGGGGGCAATACTAGTACTCTTACCCCCTATGGTAGTTATAGGATTAAAAGAGTTAATATGTGCAAATTTAAATGGCATCTAACAGAAGTAAACAGTGCCACTATTATTACTGTTGTTATTATTGAAGATAGCAGAGTGCATTTGTTGCAGGCATACATGATGGAAAGAAGGCGGAATTGAGGAATTACTCAAAGAATGTTGAGTAACCCCATCTGTCGGAAGGGGAGGAAGAGCCCTATGGGTGCGTGTTGGGGAGTTTTTAATGTCAAAGAGTAAAGAGTGTGCATTATTTGGTAAGCAGCAAGAAACAATAACAGTTTTTCAACAGATGGGAGAAAAGGCCAGAGAAAGCACGGCTAAGCCGAGACAGAAGGCGTGGACGTGGCAAGGTGAGAATTAGGGCTGGCGTGTGGGTCCAGGCAGGGCGGGTGGCCGGGGTGTGTGTGAGGACAGGTGCAGGGAGCCGGCTGCAGAGGCGGGACAGCGACATCCCGGGAGTGGGAGTGGGACGATAGAGGGTGGTGGGGACAGGTGAGGAGTGAAGCGGCCCGCTGGGAGTCGGGCGGAGGCGGAGGCCGGGAGGCGGTGCCGGCCGGAGCGGGAGGGGCTGCGCGGTGCGGGCGGCGGGCGTGATGTCAGCGCGGGGCGGTGATGTCAGGCCCGGTGCTGATGCTGGCGGCGCGGTGCATTGTGGGCAGCTCCCGTCCGCCGCCGCCGCCCGGGGAGGATCGGGCCGGGCCGGGCCGGGCCGGGATGGTCCGGGTCGGGAGGCCGCCGCCGCCGTCCCCGCCGCCGCTGGGAGCCGGGCGACCCGCGCCGCGCTGAGCCGCCCCCGCTCCCGCCGTGCCCCGGGGCCGGCCCCGGGGGATGGAGCCGGCGTCCCGCAGGTGAGGCCAGGCAGGCGGGCGGGCGAGCGGCTCCTGGCCTCGGCTCCAGGCGCGGCTCTGCCGCTGTTGCCGCCCGGGGCGGGGCGGGGCGGGGGCGCGGGGACGGGGACGCGGGCCTAGCCGCCTGGGCCGCAGCGGAGCCTGGGCCTCCCCGCGCGCAGACCCACCCGGGGACCCCAAGGATCGCCCTCCTCGTCCCAGCCTCCTCCATCCCCTCCTCACCCTCTCGATGCAGCAAGTCCCTCTCCTGGTCCGCTGGCTTCCTCACCTGTCACTGAGAGACCTGGCACCCTCCTCTGTCTCACCCTCTGATCCCATCGCTCCTGTCCCTTCCTTTCCTCTCTGCTCCCTTCGAACCTCTTCTCACCTGTTCCCAGTACCACTCCTGGGCCTCAGCACTCCTTACCTGGGAGTCCAGAGTCCCCTGCATACCCAGCTCACACGGCATAGTTACACACAGTGACTCTTATTTTCACACAAATACACACCTAGGGATTTACCTCTCCCTGAGTCTGTCTCTGTCACACACACACACACACACACACACACACACACACCCCAGCCCCACACTCTCAAATACTATCTGAAAGACATTCAAAACTACCTCCTCCCCAATCCCCCTCCTCACTACCACCCAGCCTCCAACTCCCAGAGCAGCGTGAGTGGCAGTGGTAACACTGAGTTTTTTCAGCATGTCTTTCGCCCTGATCCGAGCCCAGTGCAGTCCTCTGAGAGGGACAGAGGGAAGGATGGTACTTAGAGAAAGACAGATCTCCCATTTCCCACCTCACCTCCTTCTTTTAGGATTCCCCTTCTCTAAAATGGGAGCAGGACAGTTTTCCTCATTCACCTATAGACGCAGCCATTACAGGACTGCAAGGCCCCCCAGAGGTCACTCAGTTCAACTTCTTTTTATTTTTAATTTTTTGGTGGTGCTGGGGATCGCACCCAGGGCCTTGAGCATGCTAAACATGCACTCAGCCACTGAACTACACCCCGGGGCCAAGTTCAATCCTTAAGGCCCCTTCCTACCAGCTCCATCACTTCCTCAGTCTCGTCTCCCCATCTTCATTCCAGAACCCTCAACCCTGCCTCCCCATCCATGCCATGGCCCTCACTGTCCTCCAAATTCCCGATCCCCCATAGCCCATGTGGCAGGAGGGAAAAGCTTTTGCAGATTGGAGGAAACAGTTCAGTTTCATCACTTCAAGAAAGAGGATGACAATGTCCTTCCCCATGATGATCCCTCCTCCACGTGTCCCCAGGGGCACGCCATGACCGGATGTGCCCATGAAGGATGTCCCTCACCTTTACATCCCACCCTGCCCCCTGACCAGGGGTCTGGATGCTCGAGCCCCAGGGAATCATCCCACCCCAAGGGAAGTCAGGTTAATGTCCTCACCTCATCTGTACACTCCTTTAGTCACTTTCCTCCTCTTCCAGAATCCCCAACCTAAGTAACTTCCTTTTCTTTCTCTTGTCTGTGACTCTCCAGGGTCAGTCTGAGGGCACAGCAGTGTGCATGTAAAAAGTGTAAGGGACAGAGGAGGGCACCATGCTAGACTGGGATGGCAGAGATCTCAGAAAGTCATCTCTTCTGGCCCTTTGCCTGCACACATGCACACCACAGACACACACACACACAGACTCACACTGACACACAAGCACACAGACACGCAGACAGGGAAATATCCACACACACAGGCACACTCATGTAGAGGGATGCATGCACAGAGCCACACACAGACATACACATATGCACACACTTTCCCTGGGAAACATGTGCCGCACTGTCCCACCCCTCATTTGGGATGCTCACCCTGATGTCCATGTTCTACACAGAGACAGATGTGGCCACACACTCCCCCAGACCCATGGCCCCCTATCACTCCTCCTGCCTGCTTAGGGTGTTCCCAGTATCCTGCTGTCCCCAATTCAGCCTGCCTTGTCCCTCTGAAGTGGTCACAAGGCTGTTGTCCTTCCTAGGTTCATGTCTTGAGTCTCTGTCTTGCATTCACCACTGGACTCCATTCCTGCTCCCTGGCCCCATGGTGGGGTGAGCATGTCTCCCGCCTCTCAGCTGTGCACCCGTCACTTAGCACCCCAAGGGGCTGTCCAGCACCTCTGCATTCCCTTGTCACATTGACATGGCTGACAGCAGGTCACTCTGCTGTGGGCCTCCTGTGGGTCACCCTCTGGTCAATGTCTTACCCTTTTACCAAGCCTGGCATGCACAGCTCTTTGGGCATTTTGTGGCACAGGGGGTAGAGACCACAGATGGGTCTTTCTGGCCCAGGTCTCCCAAACACAAGCAGAGGTCCGTCTCATGTGTTTCCTCGCGTAGCAAGTCTGCCCCACCTGAGTTAGCATGTGTCTTTGGCCTGTGTCCACGCCATTGTCCTCTCCTTTTCCACATGTGTTTCGGTGCTGATTCCTACATCTCCGGTGTGCAGTCGGTGTCCCCTCCAGTGACCCCCATTCCTAGGTGCATCCGGCAGGCGGTGGACCCCCTCCCTGTGTGAGGGCGTCCTGGGCCAAATCCTGCAGGCAGTGGAGCCCTCTCCCTGTGTGCTAGGGTCCTGGGCCCAGCCACTCACTGCTGCTCCCCACCTCTAGGTAGATGGCCCCCCCAGGGCAGGCCCTGCGGACACCCCTCCCTCCGGCTGGCGGATGCAGTGCCTAGCGGCTGCTCTTAAGGACGAGACCAATATGAGTGGGGGAGGGGAGCAGGCCGACATCCTGCCGGCCAACTACGTGGTCAAGGACCGCTGGAAGGTGGTGAGTGCCCCGGCCCGGCGCGGAGGAGGGGGGTGGAGACTTGGAGGGCGGGTGCCCCCGGAGCGCGGCGTCCCCAGCTCTCGGCATCCTGCTTGCAGTCCTTATTTTGCGCGCACGTGCCGGCCCTCGCCGGTTCCTGGCACCCTCGGCCCCAACCCTCTGTGGTCCTCTCCCGCGGGGTCGCGTGGGCCGGTCCGCCAGGAGCGACTCGGGGGTCGGACGCCGCGCCCCAAGCCGCAGAGGCCCGCACGCGGAGGGGGACGCAGGGCGCTGTCCTGGCCAGACCTTGGGAAGGGCAGGGAGGAGCGCGCTTCTTGCTTCCGCAGGGCCGGGGGTGGGATTTGGGGACCCAGGCCTGGGGCGCCCCCGCCCTGCGCGCCCTCTCGGCCCTGCGGCAGGTGCGGAGCTCTCAGCTCCCGCACCCGCCCCGCCGCACGGCCTGATGGGGGCTGTAGTCCGGCCTCGCGGGTGGAGGCTGGCGGGGACACTTGGGGTCATGACGAGGCCACGTTGAGGACCAGGCCTGTGGCCAATCAGACCCCATAGCCTCCCCTTCTTCCCGCTGCTTCGAGCGCCGCAGTGTCCTCTGATCTCGTGGGGGCGGTGGTGTCAGAGGAGCAGCGTGAGATTGGGGTCCGCAGGGCTTGGCGACGGAGGGGAGATTGAGGACAGCAGGGGTCAGGCTTGCACTGAGCGTATGTGCGCGCGTGAGTGAGTGTGTGTGTGTGCGCGCGCGCGAGCGCCGGCGCCCTAGCGGAGGGGAAGCTCAGCTCACCAGGGGTGCGGGGTTGGAGGCGAGGGTGGGGCCTGGCTGCAGGCGGGTCTCCATGGCAACTGTCACCCTGCCCCGCAGGTCCCCTAGGGGTCCAGGGAGAAAGGAAAAGGTGGCTGCCGGCAGAGATGGGGAGGGGGCTCAGAGAGGAGACTTTAGGTTCCCCGGAGTGAGGGAAGGAGCTATGTGACAGAGGCGTCCTCAGAGGAGGAGTAGGACAGACACTGGAGGCGGAGCCACGCAGTCCTAAAAGGAGGAGAGTCTGCGAGGGAGGAGGCTTCTTCAAGACCCCCTGGGTCCCCGAGCCAGAGCTGGTTTCTGGCAAGTGAGGAGGAGCTGAGGACAGACTAGTGTGTTCAGACTGGGACTCTGTGCTCCTAGGGGATGGGGCAGGAGTGAGGCTAGGGGGACTTGGAGGGGGGCAAAAAGCCAATTTTGCCAGCCCTGGGTCCCTGCCCCTGGGAACTTAGGGGCTGGGGTGCCAGATTCTCCCTTCTCAGTGGGGAATGGGACAGAGATGGGAGACAGAGCTCTGGGCAGGACATCTGCACGGAGAGGGGCCGTGGTCAGGGAAAAATGGGGCCAGTGGAATATTTAAAATAGTCACACCTGGGCTGGGGATTTACCTCAGTGGTTCCACCACCTGCCTCGAAAGCCAAGGACCCGAGTTTGATCCCCGGTACGAAAACAAAAACAAAAACAATAATCACACCTTATTCTTTCTGAGGGTGCTTCTCAGGATGAGAAGAGCAGACAGTAATAAAAGTGTAGCATTTATTTTGCGCCTTTACTGTTGCCTGGTGCTTACATGGGTTTTCTCAACAAGCTGGGGGAGAAACTGCTAGTGTCCCCATTTCACAGGGGTGGAAACTGAGGCCCAAGATTAGCTAATTTGCCACGTTCCCTTGACTGCTAGGTGAGACCATCTGTCTTTCTGCTGGGTAATAGTCACCAAAAATCAGGCTGCCCAGGAATTAGAACCATAGCTGAAGGGGTCTTTGTGACCAAATTCTAGTCCAGCTCTCTTCCTCTTCCAGAAGACAAAAATGGAGGCTCAAGGGTGCCCCAGAACCGGGCCCAGTAGCCAGGTCTGCTTCCTGAGTGATGCTGGCTCCATGGGCCGAGTTTCTGCTCCAGGTTAGGGAGGAGAGGAGGACTCAGGGCTGGCAGAGAGGGACTGAGTAGATGCTCCCAGTAAGGGGCTGTGGGCAGGGCTGCGTGGGGACTTTCCTGAGGACTCTCCACTTCAAGGCCCCCTTCTTCTATAATCAAAACTATGTTATGGCTGCATTGGTATAAAGAGAAATGTGTTCACACTATATATTAAATTTTTCTCTTTGGCCTAAAAGTTCATGTTTTTCCTTTTCTGATTTCAAAATGAAAACATTTTTATGAATCCCTAACAGTATGCTGCTGCCCACTAGATAGCTTGGCCCCCGCCACAGGCAGAGGGCAGAGGGTGCTGGGGAGGAGGTGAGCAGACACCCGGCTCCCTGCCCTGAGTGTCTGAGCTGGGGTGAGGAGGAGACAGGCAGGACCGAGGAAGGAGAAAGGCTCTACTTAAAAATGAAGGGGTAGCAAAATCCCCTTGGGTGCCCTGGGAAGTTGGGGAATAGGTGTCAGAAGTGTCTCTGCTGCCCTGGGCCGGGGTTCCTTCTCTCCAGTGAGGATTGTGGAAGCTGGCAGACCTGGGCTTGGTGCACGCCTGTAGTCCCAACCCTAAGGAGGCTGAGGTAGAGGGATTGCCATGAGTTCGAGGGCAGCCTAAACTACATAGTGAGACCCCATCTCAAACAAACAACACAGCAAAGCTCAGGGATCTGAAGACATTAGTGGCTCCCCTGAGTCTAGAGCTCCCCAAGAAAGATGGACGTTGTCTCCCTAGAGTTGCATCTGTCCCTCCTGGCTCTGAAACCCTTGCAGAGCCTGATTAACCCCCCTCACTACTAGAAAGATGCTCTGGTCACTGGCTGTGCTTCCTTTTTCTTTCTTTCTTTTTTGGTACCAGAGATCAAACTCAGGACCTTGGGCTTGTGAGGCAGGCGGCGGAACCACTGAGCTAAATCCCCGGCCCTGTGCTTCCTCTTTCCGTTTCCTCCTGGACGCAGGGACCTTTGTGTTCCCACCCAGCCTTTGCCTTCTCTCCTACATCTTCCTTTCACCCTTCTCTCTCTGGCCTGGCTGCCATTGTCACCTACTAGAACTCCCAGTCTGGCACTGCTGCCTTCACACTGAGCCCCATTCCCACCCCTTTTCATTATTTATTTTGAGACAAGGTCGCCCAGGCTGGGCTTGAACTTGCATTCCTCGTGCCTCAGCCTCTCCAGTGCTGGGATTACATGTGTGCACCAAGCCAGGCTATGCTGTTGCTTTCTTAAATCAGCACTTCTGCTCTCCTTCTTAAATCAGACTTAGAATTCAGAACCTTCTCCTGCTCCCCAGTCACTGCCGACCTGTATTCTCACCCTTCAAACCTCCTGGACCTCCAGGTTGAAATGAGTTCCAATCCCTCCCCATTACTCACTTTGCCTAGCCCCTGCCAGCTCTTTGCCACAGCCCTCCTCTCCTTCTCTGTGCTTCAAGGAGGCTGAATAGGAGGCCCAGAGGGTCAGATTTCGGTTCCACTCTTTTGAAGAGTGCCCCGACCTGGGGAGGAAGTCACCCTGCTTCTGGGTGTATGACCAGGGGCAGGAAGTGATGTGAGCATCTGCCATGGGCATGGGCTGTGGACACCCTCTGCTGAGTCCCCTCTCCCAGCTACTCTTTCCCTCAGGGGACATATTTCAGGAGACTACCAGCCCCAGGAAGTGTGGCTCTCTGGCTAAGAGGTCCCGGGGTCAGTTTATTTCTGGATGAAAGTTGCTTAGTCTGGGGCCCTGGGGAGTGTGATGGTGTTGTCCTTCTAGAGAAGGAAAGGTCTGGGACAGCCCTGATGTCTAGACTCTTACCCAGTCGGGCTGCCTCCGTGTCCTCACAGCGCCACAAGTGTCTTGTGTTTCCTGCTGCCTCTCTGACATCTGGTCTTGCATGTGTGTGTGTGAAAGACTGTGTGTGTCAGGCATTAGGACAGGGCTCTCCTAAGCATCTGGGTGCACCGATGGGATGGACCAAGGACCCTAGTGTCCTCCCTCCGAGGACCCTGTTGTCCCCATCAGCGAGGATCCCACCCATGGGGGCTGGGTGAAGATGGATTCAGCCTGACCCAGAGTACCCCCTTCCCCCATGTCTATAGCTGAAAAAGATCGGGGGCGGGGGCTTTGGTGAGATCTACGAGGCCATGGACCTGCTGACCAGGGAGAACGTGGCTCTGAAAGTGGAGTCGGCCCAGCAGCCCAAGCAGGTCCTCAAGATGGAGGTCGCTGTGCTCAAAAAGCTTCAAGGTACAGGCCTGGGGGGAATGGAAGGGAGGAGGCAATGGAGCCAGGGGCTGGGAGAAGCTGGGAGGCCCCGTGGGTGGAGGCAGAGTGAGGCAGAGTGAGGCAGGGATGGCACTTATTGAATGTTAGAGAGATGATACGGCTGAGGGCAGGTGGAGCAGGTGGCAGAGCCAGTCCTGGCCCAGCTGGGTACCTGGGACCAGAGTGGCCAGGAGCTTCCAGGGGCTGGAGGAGAAGCAGGCCCTGGGAGGCCCTGTCTGTGTCTCCAGGGAAGGACCACGTGTGCAGGTTCATCGGCTGTGGCAGGAATGAGAAGTTCAACTATGTGGTGATGCAGCTGCAGGTGCGTCCCCCTCTGGCCTCCTTTCTGTCCCCTCAAGCTGGGCTGGGCCTCGGGTGGGAGTAGGGAAGACTGGAGCCTGCAGTTGCTAGGATGGGAGGAGCAGAGGTGGGCACACACCTGGGGTCAGGGCCAGTGTCACAGGATGTGCGACCCCTGCCACCTGCTCCCAGGGCCGGAACCTGGCCGACCTGCGCCGCAGCCAGCCTCGGGGCACCTTCACACTGAGCACCACCTTGCGGCTGGGCAAGCAGATCCTGGAGTCCATCGAGGCCATCCACTCAGTGGGGTTCCTGCACCGAGACATCAAGCCGGTGAGGGAGTGAGCGCTGCCCCGCCCGGCCCTCCTCTCCCTGATGTCCCCTAGTACAGCCCCTGCCTGCCCCTCAGGGCCTCTCCATGGTTCCTTTACCAGCCCTCACCCCTACTGGGCAATCCTTGAACCTGGGAAGGGCTCACAGCCGCTGTCCCCCCAGTCGAACTTCGCCATGGGCAGGCTGCCCTCCACCTACAGGAAGTGCTACATGCTGGATTTTGGGCTGGCCCGGCAGTACACCAACACCACGGGAGATGTCCGGCCTGTGAGTACCACTGCAGATGGGGGTGGGACTGTCCCCAGCTTCTCCTGCAGCTGCCTAAGCTGGCCTGCCCTTGTCTTCAGTATCAGCACCCTCACATCCACAGTTGGGAACTTCTTTCGGCCCACGGTGGGCAGTGAAGGGCGTAGCCTGGGTGTCAGAAGGCAGAGCTGGGCTTGGGACCAGGGCCAAGATGTGGCTGTGGTCAGGCACAGTGGGTGATGTGCCTGGTGGTGTCTCTCCTCGGCAGCCTCGGAATGTGGCCGGGTTTCGAGGGACTGTGCGCTACGCCTCCGTCAATGCCCACAAGAACCGGGTGAGTGGCAAAGCCTGGACAAATGGTTGGACAGGCAGAGTGGGTGAGGTCTTGGTGGGGCGTGCTGCTGATCTCGGGGCTAGAAGGAGGGAAGGAGAGCTCCCTTCAGCCTCCTCTTTGTTCTCCACAGCAGACACTGTGCAGCTACAAAGCACAGCGAGATGTTTTGAGTATGGGATTCCCAACATATGAGGGTCAGAGATGGAGCTGAGGCCTCAGGGAGACCCCAGCTTTGCCATTCGGGGCTGGGAACCAGGCCTCCCTGATGGATGTCCCTCCTTCTCCCCACAGGAGATGGGCCGCCACGATGACCTGTGGTCCCTCTTCTATATGCTGGTGGAGTTCGCAGTGGGCCAGCTGCCCTGGAGGAAAATCAAGGACAAGGTGAGGCTTCTCCTCCCTGCTGGGCCAGGGAGACAGAGGGTCAGAGCAGCCAGGCTCTACTGTCACCCTCTGGCCTCAGGAGCAGGTGGGGATGATCAAGGAGAAGTATGAGCACCGGATGCTGCTGAAGCACATGCCCTCAGAGTTCCACCTCTTCCTGGACCACATCGCCAGCCTTGACTACTTCACCAAGCCCGACTACCAGGTGGGAGCCTGCACCCCATGCCTGTGCCTGCCCCTGCCCCAGGGTCCTGCCTCATGGCCCTCTATATCTCCCCTGGTCTTCATTTTTATTTTTCCTTCTCTGTGGTTTTGGAGATTGAACTCAAGGCCTTCAAACTGGGCTACATCCCCAGCCCCTCTCATTTTTTTTGTTTTATTTTGAGACAGGATCTTGCTAAGTTCCTAGGTTGCTCAGGCTTGGCTTGAACTCGCCATCCTGCCTCAGCATCCCAGAGTTCTGGGATTAAATGTGTGTGCCACCATGCCCAGCTTCTCCTTGTCTTCTAACTGTCCCAGATTCTTCTGTGACCCCCTTTATTTTTTTTTCCAGTACCAGGGATTGAACTCTGAACCTTGTGGTTTTGAGGCAGGTGTGGTACCACTGAGCTAAATCCCTGGCCCTTTCTGTGACCCTTTAAATGGGAGCCCCAGCTAAGATTTATCAACAGTCGACCCTGTTCTCAGTGCATTCCTCAAATTAACTCATTAGAGGTTCAAAAGAAGCCTTTGATGATAATAAGTGTTCCCTGTATTATCACTACAGTGCTTAATTCCTGAAGCCAAGCCGGGCATGAGGAAGCATGCCTATAATCATTCAGGAGGCTGAGGCAGGAGGTTTATAAGTTCTGGGCCACCTGGGCTACATAATGAGACACTGTCTCAAAAAAATGCATTCAAGTCCTTTACACCAGAATCCTGCAGAGGCCAAGTGGGGTGATTGTTCTTATTTCATAGATGGGGAAACTGAAGTGTGATATCATGGGATATGATTAAGAGCAGGGCTGGGCTCAGGGACAGTCATACATCACGTAACAACAAGGATACATTTAAATCACTGCTGTGTGAACATCACGGGGCATGCTCACATGCTCACCAAGGCCTAGCTGCTGCACATGTAGGCTGTACTTCATGTGCATATGTTGTAGCACACATGTCACATGTTATAGCACACTGCTCCTAGAGCCAGGACACCCAAGACAAGAGTTAACTAAGGACAAGAGGAGACAATACAAACAGGAGATGAAGCAGGCAGAAGCTGTGGGAGCGGCTGCGTAACAAGGCACACTGTTTACAGTAGGTGTCTATATAAGTGGAGGTGAGCCCTGCCCTGGGTACAGGGTGCTGTATTCTTCCATGACTGGCAGCACAGTAGGTTTGTTCACACCAGCAGCAGCACACTGCGCTGCTCCACCTTGTTACCTAGTCAGGGGAGACCTGGCAACAGAAATCTTTCGCCTCTATGCTAGTCTTAGGGTGTCACTGCCATGCGTGCTGTCTGTTGATGACCAAGACCTCGTTACGGTGCACAACTGTGCCTCTAATTCCCAAGTCCAGTGCTCCTTCCGAGGGTCTGTCACTGGGCCCCGGGGGACCCAGCGACTGATTGGAGAAGGGGGTACTGGTCAGCCATGTCCTCCTGGGAATCTGCTGTGGGCCAGCGTGGTCTGCACAATGTGGGGACACAGACAGAACTGGGCACACAGTAGGTGCTTAGGAGGTGGGTCCAGAGGGCAGAGCCAGGCCAGATGGAGGAAGCTCTGGGGGCCCTGAAGGGTCTGTAGCTGCCTGCTGCCTCCTGGACCCAGAGCCCCAGTTGTCAGTACAGGTGCCTCTGGGGGTCCTCCAGGCCACACAGCTGCATTTGCTTCCCACACTGGGCCCTAAGTGGGCTGCTCAGGAGGTAGAATTGGAAGAAGGCACTGCCCAGTGTTGGGAGGGAAGCCAGGGAGTGGGGCATCAGAGAGGAGAGGAGGGGAGGCTGCCTTCCAGGGGCATGTCCCACAGGAAGCTCCAGAGCTTCCTGCTGAGATGGTGGAAATGGCACAGGAGTTTGAGGATGGTAATCAAAGGACTGATCTCAGAGGACCTGTGTCCAGCTGGTGGGGCTTAATCCAAGATGCTAATTTGCATGCTAATTTGCATATCATATGCATGTTTTCATTTAAAATCAATGTGCCCTTCTCCTTCCAATGCCCCATCCTGGAAGTTTCCTCTCTTCCCTTCCCCCTGCAGTCCCTGCACCTCCCCTTTGCACCTGGCCAGCCCTGGGGTCACCTCTCTGTCCTCCCCCATCCTGCCCCTGCAGTTGATCATGTCGGTGTTTGAGAACAGCATGAAGGAGCGGGGCATTGCTGAGAACGAGGCTTTTGACTGGGAGAAGGCGGGCACCGACACCCTCCTGTCCACGAGCACCTCCACCCCACCGCAGCAGAACACCCGGCAGACGGCGGCCATGTTTGGGTGAGTCTCAGGGTGACAGCCTGACGGGGGTGGCTACCCTGTCCTCCTGAACCCGGATATGCTTGGCTGTCTCCACCTCACTAGCTCCTTGACACCAGGGTTGTGGAACTTGGGAGGTTCTGCCACAGCTCCACCTAGGGTGGGTGAGCTACTCATTTGGAGCTTGTGACCCTAGCTCAGGAGCAAAGAACCCTTGGTGAATGACCAAAGCCCTGAGTCGAGTAGCTCCTTAGTGTCCCGAGGGCACACACTTCTGCTGAGTCCAGGATGTTTGTGACTAACGGTCAGAACTTCAGAGCCTTGTGACAAGCACTGAGACCAAGGTGGCCTAAGAAGGAGCCCCCCACCCAGCCCAGGGCCACGTCTAGGAGGGAGGCTCCCCAGAACTTGCCAAGGTGCCCAGGTCCGTAAAGAGGCTACTTAATGAGCTCAGAGTGGCTCATCCTTTTAGACTCAGTCTTGCGTGGAAAGAACCCAGGTGCTGATGCCTCGGGGAACGGGCAGGGCCTGGAAAGACACAGGGTGCCCTGAGAAGTAGAGCTAGGTGGGGATGCATCTGGTCTGAGGCCTCAGGGGCCAGTGCTGGGCCCAGGACCCTACATCTGCTGCCGGGGAGCCTCCTCTGCCCACTTGGGTGGCCTCCAGGGCCTGCTGTTGTGGGAGAGGCCTTGGGAGCATGGGGACCCCCGGCCAGCCCTGCTCCTCACCCCCACCTGGCCTCTGCAGAGTGGTCAACGTGACACCCGTGCCTGGGGACCTGCTGCGGGAGAACACAGAGGACGTGCTCCAGGGAGAGCACCTGAGCGACCAGGAGAACGCACCCCCCATTCTGCCCGGGAGGCCCCCCGAAGGGCAGGGCCCTGGCCCCCACCTCGCGCCCCACCCTGGGGGTCCTGAGGCTGAAGTCTGGGAGGAAACAGATGTCAACCGCAACAAACTCCGGATCAACATTGGCAAAGTAATTGAGCCAGGGAGAAGGGCTCAGGCCTCCCCTCCCGATTCCCAGCCCTCGGCCCCAGCCCATTCCTCCCGGGCACCTCCTCCCCAGCCAGCAGTCCCTGAGCAACCCCCTGACCCATGGCACCCCTCCTGCAGACCCCCTGTGCGGAGGAGGAGCAGAGCCGAGGCACGGGGGTCCCCAGTTCCCCGGTGCGTGCACCCCCAGACTCCCCAACAACCCCAGTGCGTTCTCTGCGCTACCGGAGGGTCAACAGCCCCGAGTCAGAGAGGCTGTCCACAGCCGACGGACGAGCGGAGCTGCATGAGAGGAGGTGGGTGTGGGGGAGGGGTGGGCAGGGGTGCTCAGGGCTCCCATGGTCCCCTCTGCTGTCACTCGACTGCTGCAGGGTCAGAGTGAGGTGGCGGTGTGGGGCGCTGGGACGTGCTGTAGGGTCCTGCTCAGTTTGGGGTCCCATTTGGCAGGGGCCAGTGATGGCCTGAGAAAGGAGTCCCAGCTCTGCAGGGCTGGGCTTGGAGAGGGGAGACCTGGTCCCCTGGCCCAGGAGAAGGGTGGCAGGGAGGTAGGCCTGGTTCCAGGACTCTTCCTATCCACTAAGTACAGATCCTAAGAGCAGTGGAGGCGGGGGCCTGGGAGGGGAACTGCGGGAGGAGAGGACAGGAGATGGACCACATTTGGGGATTGGGGCTGAGGGGTCTTAGGTCAGAGTGGGGAGGGGGTGTGGGAGAGGGTGGGCAGGTTGTGCCTGTGGGGGGCTAGCTGGGGAAGGACCAGGAAGAGCCCCTCTTGAGCTGTTGATGCAGGGAGCACAGGGTAGAGAGGCACCTGGAAGATGTCTCTATGTTCCTTGGCTCCTCAGGGTACTTTGCCCCCAGCAGGCCTGGGTACATGCCTGCCCCAGGAAGGCCTCTCTCTGGCTCAGCCTGGGGTGAAGGGTGAACTTTGGGTGCCCAATAAGCATCTTTCCTCTTGACTCATCTCAGAATGGCCCCTCTGGACTCTGCCCCAAACTGTATCCCTCCTCCAAGATGAGACTGGGTACTTCTGTGGGGTGTGGACTTGCCCAAGACTGGCCCATGTAGGAGACAGTCCTTGCTCACTGGGCAGGCGCCCAGCACTGAAGACTACATCAGCATCATGGAGGAGGGTTCTGGATGCACTCAGAGAAAAGAGGAAGGGCAGATGGGAGGGGGTCCCTAGAGAAGAGAAGGGAGCTGCCCTCCGTGGGAGGCCTGAGCAGGTTGGCTTGGTCACAGTGAACCCCAGCTCTAGGAGCAGCAGGAAGTAGAGGGCAAGGAGAGCATTGTAAGAGGGCAGGTTCAGGATCACATAGCACAGCCGCATGCGTCTGTGTGTGAGGATGGCACAGATCCCGAATGTGTCAGCCCTTAGTTCTTGGGGTGCCCTGGTGTTCAACAGATGACGGTTCTTTGTGCCACATCCTCCCACTCCTCACACACTACCTACAAGCAGACGAATCCTCACCTGGGGGCTGGTCTTACTGGCACTGAGAAGCTCTGGAAGTAGCGTGAGATTCCCAACAACACTGAGGTAATGGTAAGAGAGATGTCTGCCACAGGACTAGTGCCCCTAGGGGAAGCTGGGGGGAGCCAGGCCCCATTCCAGAGCTCTCAACCTCCTGGGGACACAGACATGCAACAGATATAAGGTCTGCTATTGGGGACCAGAGTCCCGTGGGTGCACGGAGCCCTCCACACGGGACAGGAAGGCCCTCTGCAGGCATGCATTGGAGCCAAGCAGAGAGCAGGGGACAGAGGGACAGGGTGTGTGTGGGAGGTCAGGAGGAGGGACACGCTGTATGGGGTGCAGCATGTATAAGGCCACAAAGCGTGACAGTATGGGCAATTTGGAAAATGTGAGTGAATTTGAGGTGGATTTCACTAGGGAAATGAAGAAACCGAAGCTCTGTCAGGTCAGGAGGGGCCTTGAGTGCCAGATTGAAGAATGCAGGCTTTGTTCTTGGGGTGAGGAGTTTGTCAAACTGGGGGCTGACCAGGCCCTTCCTAGGGAAGGCAATGGAGGAGGCAGTGTTTGCCCGGGATGCAGCAGAGAGCCGCTGGCTTTAGGAAGATTAGGTCCTCAGGTCCCCGGAGAGAGCCAGTGTTCATAGGGCACAAGAGGTAGTTTGTTTTCTGCATGTTCCTGTCCCTGCAGCACAGTGAGCAGTCAGAAACATTCGCTGAGTGAATGAATGAATGATGAATGAATGAATGAATGACAAATGAACAATGAAGCCTTTCAAGGAAGCAAGGTTTCAGGGTGGCAGTGTAGAATGTGGCTGGGCCTGGTGCAGGGTGGCAGAGGAGCTGTGGTCCCGGGGTCTCAGAGAGGCTGACACTGACCCACACAGTGGCTTTGCAGGTCTCGGATGGAACTGCCGGGATCCCCCTCGCGCCAGGCCTGCTCCTCGCAGCCAGCTCAGATGCTGTCAGTGGACACGGGCCACGCCGACCGGCAGGCCAGCGGCCGCATGGACGTGTCTGCCTCCGTGGAGCAGGAGGCCCTGAGCAATGCCTTCCGCTCAGTGCCATTGGCTGAGGAGGAGGACTTCGACAGCAAGGAGTGGGTCATCATTGACAAGGAGACAGAGCTCAAGGACTTCCCCCCAGGGGCTGAGCCCAGCACATCAGGGACCACAGATGAGGAGCCTGAGGAGCTTCGGCCGCTGCCCGAGGAGGGCGAGGAGCGGAGGCGGCTGGGGACAGAGCCTGCCATCCGGCCCCGGGGACGGGGCATGCAGACACTGGCGGAGGAGGACCTGCGGCAGATGCCACCCCAGCCCCCACCACCCCAGCTGAGCCAGGCCGATGGCCGGTCAGAGACGTCGCAGCCCCCAGCGCCTGGCAGCCCTTCCCACTCGCCCCTGCATTCGGGACCTCGCCCTCGACGGAGAGAGTCAGATCCCACGGGCCCGCAGAGACAGGTAAGGCTGGCTTGCACCCTGCTCCCTGCCCTGATGCCTGAGTCCTGGCGGGCAGGCCTGGCACATCCCACATGTGTGGCCCTTGCCACCTGGGAACCCCACAGTCATAGCTTTGATGGAGGGACACAGGGTCAAGGCCCAAAACTGTGTTTGGGGGCCTTCCCAGAGGAAGTGCCCCAGCTCCTGAGTGGAGTCTTTCATTATGAGTAGTGAAAAAGCAGGAGAAAAGCCTCCCAGGACAAGGGCACCAATGACATAGGCTGGCCCAGGGCTATCATGCAGGGCCTTGAGCCATGCAAAGGGTGGGGGCTGACTCTGGAGGCTCCATGAGCCACTGGGGGCTTTAAAGAGACATGTGGTGTGATTGCGTTAGTACTTTTGAGTGGTCCCTGGGGCTGCTGTGCAGAGAATGGATCAAAGGAGCACAAAACTTAGAAGCAGGAAGGCCACATGGCAGGCGACATGAGGAGAAGCCCTGGTGGCCTGGATGAGGGGACACAGAGCAAGGAGTTGAAGCCAAGAGGAGTTAAGAAGAGGACGGGAGGGCTGTCATGGGATGGAGGTGGGGGCCTCTGGGTGGGCAGCCGTGTCACCACTCCACGATTCTGCAGGGACGCTGGGTTCAGACTTGGACACAGTGACCTCTGGTGTGGAAGGCTATCCACATGGCCTCGGCCCAGGCTCAGGGGAGACAGAGATTTGGGGGCTTTGGAAACCATCAGAGTGCGTGGTGAGGTCACCTGAGAGGATGTTCAGGGTGGGAAGACCTGAGGGAGGGAGCAGCAGGGAAAAGCCCACGGGGGGGGGCAGGAAAAGGAGCCCTTCGGGGTGATGGAGGAGGGGGGAGAGGTGCCAGGCCGAGGGGCCGTAGAAATGGTAGCAGTGGGGGCATGACAGGTAGTAGGGAGAGTCAGGAGGCTGCTCCTATGGTCAGCACAGGCTGGGGGACAGTGGGGAGAGTGGACCAGGTTGGCAAGGACTCTGGATTGGGCACAGGGACAGGCATGTTGGGGGCTGGGGAGGGCCAGGCAAGGGTGAATCTCAGTGCTGGGCTGAGGGTCTGAAGCCAGCTCCTGGTACTGTGGTTATTCCTTTCTAAGGAAGGTAGGATGTCAGAGTAGGCAGTGAGCTCGGGCCTGGCCAAGCTCGGGCCTGGCCAAGCTTCTCTGTACGGGGTAGGGCTGTAAGGGAAGTGGACAGTGACCCTTACCCTGTGTGCTGAATGGAGTCCATGATCTTTGGGGAGGCTGGGAACTCATGGAAGGGGTTCTGGGGTGGGGCTGGTCCACTCACCGGTGCCAACATTGGGAGTACACCCAGGTGGCACTGGGCAGTGCCCAGGTGCAGGGTTAGGGGCCGTCTCTGCCACTCGCTCTGGCTGGAATCCCTTGGGTGCTTGGAAAGGGTAGCTCTGGGCAGGGGTGGATTAGCTCTGTCCCACTCTCCTAGAAAGGCTCTCTGGGCCATGATCCTGGGGAGTGTGCTTCCTGACTGCCCTGGACACTGGAATTTGGGGGCTCACTCAGTCCTCGCTGCCCTGAGTTGGAGGCTTAGCCCTGGCCGGGAGCTGTGACCTGGTGATGATGTCACTGTGACCTGGTCATGGCTCCCATCACAGCGGTGCTTGGCCAGCAGGAGAAGGAGCAGGACCCGTGCAGAGCTCCTTGTGCCCCCATCCTGCACCCTCCCCAGCCCCAGCACATACTGTATGAGGGTCCCAGAGCCTAGAGTGGGCAGGCCCCAGAGGCTGTGCCCCAGGAAGGGCAGCGTCTAGGATGTGAGGCACAGAGTGGTGGTGTGGGGTGCTGAGAGATCCCAGATCAATGCCAGGGGGCCTTGGTTCTAGACCTGTCTCTTCTGGTCCCTTCCTGGTGACCAGGGGCCAGTTGCTGCCCCTTCTAAGGTTTGGAGTGAGGGAGCTGAACCATTGCTGAGATTTCCCTCACCTTACATCCCACCTCAGTCTCGGGAATCATCCTCACCTTGTGGACTTCTGGCCAAGGGGGTGAGGAGAGAGAGATTTGGGGGAGCAGGCCCGTGTCTGTGGTGCAGTTAGGCCCATTTGTGACATGGACAGGGGCAATGGGTTGTGTGCCTTTGGGGGTGAGGCATTGCTGAGCCTCAGTTTCCCCAGTGTGCAGAGACTGAGGTTGCTCAGCTTTCTGCCACCATGCGTGTGCAAATCTCTGTCAGTGAGTTCGAGTGTGCCTTGGCATGTGGGTGTGTCCCACACAGGCATTGGCATGGGGGGCATGAGGCAGGTCTCAGGCATGCAGGGCATGATGGCTGCCTGGGCAGTCCCAGCTGGAAGGATAATAACAGTCATTCAGGATGAGGCTGACGGCTCCGACTTGACCCTGGTCTCAGCGCTGTCACAGTTCACACATGTGCTCCCCACCCCAACACTGTGACCAGGCAACCCTGACTTAAAAGGTTAGGAGGCTGGCGCTCAGAAAGGCTAACTTTCCAGTGTAGGTCTCTCCACCTGTACTTGAACCCAGGTCCAGGGTCTGTGCTCTGGGCTCTGCAGCTTGAGCCTGTGTGTTTAGCAAACGGAAGCACAAACAGACTGAGAACAGATCAGCTGTGCAGGGTCAGAGAGTGGCTGGCCCAAGTTCCAGGGTCCCTGGCAGGTCAATGTGCATGGCGGACTGTGTGTGCCGTGGGGGTAGATGGGGCAGCATGTGTTTTGCCAGGTGTTTCAGGGACAGTGGATGAAGCTGTCCTGCCTCCAGGGCAGTGGGGGAGGGAGATGGGGCAGTACTGTCCCCTTCTTTGGGGGGTGGTGCTGCAGGGCACTGGCCAGCCTGGGCTGCACCCTGGAATGAGTGTCTATCCTGGGGTGCCTAAAAGTGGCTAGAGGGACACCCTGCCCCTGCCTGGCCCCAACCACCTTTCTGTGACCTGGCTGGTCTGCTTACTAGTGTGTGAAGTGTGAACCCATCACCTCTTCCTATGGGGACCAGGGACACTGGCCACGGTGTTCAGCGTCTGCTGTCCTTTGGTATGTGTGACATGGGACTGGGGATGCTCTCTTTGCACGGCCTGGCTTTCTTCTTGTGGGAATTTCAGGTGCAGATTTCCAGGGACAGGACCCTCTGGGGCACAGGGTGTGCGGGACAGCAAGTGTGTGATTTGGGGGAGGGCTGTTTGCTTTAGTGTCAAGTGCCTCTGGCCGATAACACAACAGGTCAGCGCTCCCTGAGTACACAGACACTTGCCGGGAAGCCACCAAAGCACCTCCTGGTCATGAGCTAGGCAACACACTCGGGGCTGGGAACAAAGATGAATGAGGCTTGGTCCCATCCTCCCCATTCGCAGCTTGTGGGTAAGAGGGGTGGGGGTGGGGGGACGTGCATAATCAGGGCCATCAGGAGCAGGACAGGCTAGTGTCTGCTTGGACCAGGGACAGGGGAAGCTGGGGTGTTCTCACAGAGGTGACTTCAGATGAGTGTTGAGGCTAGGAGGTGGCCACAGGTGGTGCCTGACCTGCAAGGTGGAGTGTGCTGGGATTCAGTGGCAGCCTCCAGAACCCCTCTGGCAGCTGACAAACTAGCTAGGGTGTCAAACTGCTGTGGCACCCATGGGTGCCTCGGTCCCCCAGTCTGTCGGGTGGGCCTCAGACTCTGTGCCACCTCTTCAGATGGGCCCAGCTAGGCAGGATCCTAACCTTGGTCCAAAAGAAGCTGACAGGCGGAACAGGGTGAGAGCAAGCAGTCCGTTCTTTCTCCCTCTCTGCAGCAGGTGCCATGCCAACTCCCCTCTCCCTCTTTACCATCAGCCAGGGATGCTGGAGATGAGTGTCCCCAGCCCCTCCCCTTTCAGCCCCTTAGTGCAGGCCCAGCCACCGCCTCACCACCAGCTGGCTAAACTAGCCTCAGTCCCACGTCAGGGTAGAATAGCCAAGTGACACCCAGGCCACTGTTTCCATCCCCACATGCCTAGGACATGTCCCTGTCCCTCTGAGGGCACAGGGCAGGATTTTTCCTCATGGTGCCATGAGAGGGCAGGGGAAAGACACGTCTGAGAAATAGTTTGGCGCCGCCGTCCTTCCCGGCTGTCGACGCCTGTCCCTGTTCTGAAGTGACTTCCAGGACACCCAACCACTCAGGAGCCCAGCCCTCCTGCACTAAGTGTTCACAGCCTATGGGGCGAGAAGGTCCCCACCCCACTTCACATAGCACAAAGCTGAGCTGTGGGGGGAGAGGGGCCTAAGCTACGGAGTGGGGGTCAACTCGTGAGTAGCTGGGCTCGAGGGTCCAGCCAGTGTCCCCAGACCCTGAGGCACATGGAGCTGTCGGGGGACAGAGGCACATGGCACGTGGCACGTGGCTGGAAGGTGTAGAGGGCCTCCTGCCAGAGAGGCTCCACAGCCCAGGGACCAGGAGCTGGGCAGGACGAGGCCAGCCGTCCTCAGCTGGCGGGGCGCTGGGGTCGGGAGGTGTGGTGCGCTCGGCCGGCCGGGCCAGAGCCCGGCTGCCGGGAGGAGGGGATGCCTGGCCGAAGGAGGAGGAGGGCAGGCAGGGACGCCGGCCGCCGCAGGGGCTGTGCGCGGGAGCCCCGAGCTGTGGAGCTGTGGAGTCTGTGCCTGACGCCTCTTTTCCCTCCACTCTCTTGGTCTCTTTCAGTTGGAGGAGGACAGACTCTCGGGGCACTCTCTCCCGCGGTACAGCCCCCTGCGACGACTGGCGTCCTCCGTGTTCTCCTCCTCCACGCTGGAGACCGAGCATTACCCTCACCCCGGCGGCGGCGGCTCGGCGGGCTCCTCCGGCTCCCTCATTCAGCGCAGCCGCTCGGCCGAGAGCAGCCCCGTGCGGGCGCCGCACCGGCGCCACGCGCCCCTGGCCGCCAGCAACCACAGACTCGTGCCCTCGGTGCTCCGCATCTCGCGGTCGCAGCTGCAGCAGGTGTGGGCCCGCTTCACCCACAAGACCTAGGCGGGCCCCCCATGGAGGGGACAGGTGGGAGGCGGGAGCAGGCAGAGACCGTGGTTCCTCCCC